TAGTAGGGGGGGGCATGGGGAGGGCTGTGCAACACAGAGAAGTAGTGATTTTACAGCATCTTACTACGCTGATGGACAGTGACTGAAATGGGGTTTGTGTGGGGGGACTTGGTGAAGGGGGGAGCCTAGTAAACATAATGTTCCTCATGTAATTGTAGATTAGTGATAGCAAAATAAAATTTAAAAAAAAAGAAAAAAAAATTTAAGGGGACTTACCCTATAAAATATCAAAATCAGCCATTTAGAAGACAGTATAGGCATAAGAAGGGACAAATTAGTGAACAGAAAAGGGTCCAGATTTATGAAATACACTGTCTCATTTTCCTGGCATCACACTTTATCTTCAATGTGTATTTGTTTTTTTGTTTTTAGTGGTTTTCTATTTATTTTCTTTCTCCATAGGTATAAGCGTGCTAGCAGAGTGTCTGGACTGTCCTGAATTGAAAGCAACTGCAGATGACTTTATTCATCAACATTTTACTGAAGTTTATAAAACTGATGAATTTCTACAACTTGATGTCAAACGAGTTACCCATCTTCTCAACCAGGACACTCTGACAGTGAGAGCAGAGGATCAGGTGACTCAGTTGCCTTCACACAGTTTTCTTAGTAAAAATGTCCTTACTAATTTCTTATGCTTCTTGTTTGGATACACAACAAGGAAAAGAATTGTGTTAGGGGAGAATGTGTGCTTTACATTAAACATAGTATTCCATTATCTATTTCATAGGAAAAGTAAGTCTTGGTTATTGTAAGGGCTGGGAATGTGTGAGATAGGCCACTTGGTAGAGATAAAGCTATTGGATACCATGGTAGGCAGAACAGTGCCTCCCCAGAGATGTCCACATCCTAATCCCCAGAACCTGTGACTATGTTATCTTACAGGCAGATGGGACTTTACATGTGTGGTTCCGTGAAGGATCTTGGGATAAGGAGGTAATCCAGGTGGGCCCAATGTAATCACAAGGCTCTTAAATGTGGAAGAGGGAGGCAAAAGAGTCAGTGTCAGTTGATGCCATGTGAGAAAAATTTGGCCAGCCATTGTTGGCTTTGAGGATGGAGGAAGGGGCCATAAGCCAAGGATTGCAGGTGGATGCTGGATCTGGAAAGTCAAGGAATGGTTTCTCCTCTAGAGCCTTCAGATAGCCCTGCTGACACCTTGATTTTAGCCTAGTATGACCTATTTTGGACCCTGACTTCAAAACTGTCAGATAAAGTATCAAAGATATAAACTGGATGCAGGCATTTGGGAACTGAGTGGGGTAACATTTTGATATGCAGACATTTGTTAGTTCACTGTTTCCAGTCCCACATCCTTCTCTGTATTTTAAACCAGTGAATTTGTGATAATTCATTGCAGCTGCAACAAAAACCTAACAGGTACTTTTAAGATCATATGCTTTCGAGTTACTTTTGTTCTAACGATAAGAGGTTTGCACTGTGCATGTTCTTTTGTCCAGTCTTCTTGATGACCCAAAGTATTATTTGCAAGTTGGACCTGGAGGACTTGACTTGGCAAAAAGAAAAAACTTGGTTCTATGACCAAAATTAACTGACTTATATGTTGGATGAAAAGAGAAGAGAAAATATCTTTAGACTGAAGAAATCTGGCAAACTGCCTACAGGTGGTCAAACCTGAATAACCATACCTGTAGGTTAATATCATCAGTGATAAGACATGTTGATAGCATGCGCCCTTGATCAAATATAATGAGAATGGCATGTCATCTCTGTGGTCTTCTTCCCAAAAAACTATAAGCCTAGTCTAATCATGAGATAAGCATTCAGACAAACCTGTATTGAGGGACATTCTATAATATACCTGACCAGAACTTGAAACTGTCAAAAGTCATCAAAAACAAGGAAAGTGTGAGAAACTGTCATACTCTAGAAGAGCCAAAGGTGACATAATGACTAAAAATAACATGGGATCCTTTATGAGACTGTGGAACAGAAAAAGAATAGATAGAAAATACAGAAATTTTTAAAGATGTCGACTTCAGTTAATAATGTATCAGTATTGGTTCATTAGTTGTGACAAAGAATACCATACTAATGTACAACTTAGTGCAGGATATATGGAAACTGTCTGGATTTTAACAACTTAGTACAGGATATATGGGAACTGTCTGCACTGCCCCTGCAACTTTTCTATAAATCTGAAACTATTCCAAATTAAGTTTGTTCAAAGAAACATACCAATTCCCATAAAAAACTAACTTAACTAGTTATAGTAGACATGTACATATATGAAATAATAGGTTTGTTTTCAGTGTGTTTAAACCAGTGACTTGTAATCAAACCATGTTAATAAACTTGAACATATTTGGTACAGCTGAGTGAATGCTACAGTATTATTTTGAAAAGCTGTCTTATATAAATATGTGTAATTTACTTTTTACATACCATAAAGTTTCTGGAAAGCAGATAACAATTTACAATTCCACAATACTAAATTGAAGTAAAATCATCGGTGACATTCATGTATCTTAGGATGGAAGGTCTCATAGAAAATTACCTGTTTTCCTGGTACCAAATGAACATACATTGAAACTATCATTGACTGATAGATTTTTTTCAGTAGTCATATCTTTTTCCAAAAAGGAAGTTATGTTTTATCTTTTAAAAAAATCATAAATTCAACATCCTCCTTGTCATTATATTGTGTAGGAGTTATTCTAAAAAACATATTACCTGTAAGACTTGCTAGAACAGCATGTAAACAGTTGTGAAGAGGCAAATGTTTGGGGATGAAAGCAAATATCTGAATAAAATGTTGGGAATAAGTGGTTGTGTCTGTGAGATTCTCCCCCTTCAATGTGAGAGTTAACATAGGTCATTGGAAACATTGCTGCCATCTAAGAATTTTACTATGCTGTTTTTCCCTTTTAGGTTTATGATGCTGCAGTCAGGTGGTTGAAATACGATGAACCTAATCGCCAGCCATTTATGGTTGATATCCTTGCTAAAGTCAGGTTTCCTCTTATATCAAAGAATTTCTTAAGTAAAACAGTACAAGCTGAACCACTTATTCAAGACAATCCTGAATGCCTTAAGATGGTAATAAGTAAGTTGCCTTAATACTCATTTATAACCTGACTGTATAACCAGTTTCTCATGGACTTGAAACTCTTACAAATGGATCAGTCTCAGTAGCCAGTGAGAAGCATTCAAGACTTTGCTCCATTGGGGTTAATTGATCCATTGGGGTTCTCAGCTGTCTACCTGGAGGGGACTTAGCCCCAGTGCTTATTTTATATGGATGTGTGTGATAGAAGGTAAGAATTACTTATGCTTTGTGTCCTTTTGTGTTTGATAGCTTTTACTTTGTTTCTACTGTTTCCTATTTTTATTTTACTTAGTGATCACATTTTCTTTCTTAAACAACTTTTGTTTCTTAGCCTAGAGCTAATAATTACCACATTTTTTAATTTACTTAGTTTTTCTTGACATGCAGATTATGTCCCAACCCCTCTGTGAAATGAATAAATTGTCTGTGCAGTTAAATAATCTGTTGACTTTCCTTTATTTCTTGGAAATGAAGATACCCTTCATAGAGCCTTCCCCCTCTGCATATGCCAGTATGTTTGCTCTTTAGGCCTGAGGCACAGTTCTTGTCTTTAGGGTTCCCTTCTTTGCCATCCTGGGATGTCCTTTCATACCTCTCCTGTTAGATTCACTATCTTCCTGTGCCCCTTAATTCTAATTGGTGGGACATATCCTCTAAAAGTTTCCTGAGGAAGAGTATATAATCAGTAAAAATTTGGAGACTTGATAAATCCCATATCTTTATTTTACCATAAAACATTGAGGCATAGCTAAACTGGGTATAGAATTATGTTGAAAACAATTTGCAATTAGAATTTTGAAGGTGATGCTCCATTATTTACTAGCTTCCAGTGTTATTTGGAGAAATCTGATGCCAGTCTGATCCTTTTATTTATTTATTTTTATTTTTTATTTTAAGCATATAAAATATATATTTTTTAATCCTTGATGTTTTGAAAGTTCACCGCAGTGAATCTTGGTGCCCATCTGTTTTCTTTTATGTTGGGCCATCTCTGTCTTTTCAGCCACAGATTTCTCAGTTCTCTATTATTGGTATTGTGATTTTTCAGCAATTGCGTCTCTTATCTTTTCTTATCTCACTATTATCCATCTTCGACTCTGTTCTATCTTCTGGGAGATAGCCTTAATTTTTCTTTTAGCACTTTAATTTCAGCTATTTTTTATTTCTGTGAGTTTTTACTTATTCTCTTAATTTCTTATTTCATGGCTGTAGTATCTTATTTTAAAGCAGCATTATAGTGCCTTTGATGTTTTCTTACCTTGTCTGCATTTTCTGTTATTACCTTTGATATTTTTTTTCTGTAGTTGTTGGAAGCTTTTCCTAAATGTTTGATTTCATCTGTGAATCATATCTATAATAGTGAGTTATTATTAATAAACCCATAGATAAAGCTGTATATATGAATGAGCTTCTCAGTTTTTGGGCTGAACTGTTTGGCAATCCATGTAGCCAGATGATTTTTTTTTAAATTGGAGACCCCCAAATGTCAGTTTCTATAGATATTTTCTCAGGTAGATGGATAAAGGCATTTGGGAACTGGTAGGGGAATATTTTGATATACAGACTTTGACTTAATCCCTGTTTTCAGTCTGTGTCATTCCTTGAGTCTGGAACATCTTTGGTTCAGTATCTCCAAAGACCAAACTTCCCACCTCCTACAGTGGGAAAGGCATAGCAGGTACTAACCATGCAGGAGGGGAAGGAAACCTGACAGTTCAACTGCTGTGTATTGAGCATTTTAGAATTATCTTGTTTTATCCCCACCCCACCGTCTTGGGTATTTGCATTTCCAGTTATGCATCTTTCCAGGATTCTGCAGGGTGATTTGGCTCACTTCTCTTTGGTGTTACCTTCCACAGCCATTTAGCTTTAACATTCTGTCTCTAGCTGCCTTCACTAACTGTGTTTCAGCATTACAGGTCTTGTATTATCGAAGGTAGAGTTTGTGTTTGTTTCTTGTTTCCTTGTTGTTTAGGGATACCTTTCAAGAGTAGGAGAAAAAAAGACCTTAAAACAGCCAGATCAATCTCAAGTTGTTTTTATATTAAGCCTGAATCAGTTTTTTTCCTTTAGCGATGTTTGGCTTTAGACATGTGATTGGAAAGATCTTCCTATTCCAAGATGATTTTTTTTTAATTTCCTAAATTTTCCTCTTTGCGTTTATGGATTTCTTCTTTCTTCAAACTTTTAAACCTTATATCCAATTGAAATTTATTTGGTGTGAAATAAATAATGTCATGCCACACAGAATAAATAAGAATCTAGTTTTTTTTCCCTCTAAATGTTTGGCAAAATGGCCCAGTATTATTATTGAATAATTCATCTTTTCCCATTCATTTGAAACATCTTAAACCAAATTCCCACATATCTGTACACAAACTCAAAATCAGTTTATCTTCCATTTCATTCTAGTACCTTTTAATTATTGTTTACTTCATTTAAATTCTCATATATGTCTCTGGAAAAATTTATAATTTTCTAAGTTCTGCATATCTTAAAATCTTTAAAGATATCTTCATTGTTGCTGTTGTAAATCATGTCTTTTTCCTTTTAGTCATTACTGATCTCTTTTTAAAATCTCTGTTGATTTCTCATTTTTTCTATAGATTTAATCCTTTATCTACAAATAATGGTAATTTTAGCTACCCCTCTCAATATTTATACCCTTATTATAACCAGTAATTTATGTAGAAGTATGCTTTTAAGTTAGCCTTTGGTTGTGATGTTTATCTTAGTTGCATTGTGGTTAAAGAACATTTCAGTCAGATACCAGTTCTTTAATGTTTATTGAGAGCTAATTTTTGTAAAATTGTCATTTGTATCTTTTATGACTTCACTAATTTTTTTGTCCAGTTTATTTATCAGTTACTGTTGAAGTTGTATTAAATTCACTGTGGTGAATTTCTTGATTTCTCCTATAATTCTGTTCACTTTCTTTCTTTTTTTTTTACATTTTTGGGGGATTTGTGCATAACAGTTTAGAAATGTTATCTTCCTGGTGAATTGAACCTTTTATCACTATTATGTAGTGATCTTTTTCCCTAATAATGATTGTTGCCTTTGTATGTTTTGTCAGATATTAATATAACTAAACCACCTTTTATCTGGGTAGTGTTTGCCTGGGTTATCTTTATTCATTTATTTTCAAACATTTTTTTCCTTATAGGTGGATCTCTTAAAAAAAATAGCATTTAGCTTAATTTTCATTTTGTACTCCTTTCTGACTGTCTTTACTGAATTGTAGACCATTTAATTTACTGGATATACTATTTGTAATTATTTTAACATGTTTTTTATGCTTTTTGTTCATCTCAATTTTACTCTGCTTCTCTTCTCTCTCATCTTCTTTTGGTTGAGGTTTTGTCCATTCATTTTTTTCATACTCTGAGAAATTGTATACTCTGTATCAGTCCTTTTAATGGTTATCCCTTATATTTTAACGTATGTACCTTAGACATTAACATTTCTACCTTCCTGAAGAAAGCAAGGACTTTAGGACACATTAATTCAATTTATGTCTTTATGGTTTTTAGTGTTCTGAATTTTAGTTCTCTTTTTTTAACCTTCCAAATGGAACATGACTATTTTTTTTTAATATAGTGAGTATTTAGACTGACCATGTTGCCATTTTCTTTGCCCACCATCTCATCTTGTAAATTAGACCTTCCTTCTGAGATTATTTGTCAAATTCCTAAAGAACGTCCTTTACAAAGTTCATACATTTACTGTCTATTAATTGTAAACTGTTTTGGTTATCTGAAAATATCTTTTTATTCACTCTGTTGGTACATGCAAGGTTAATGGGGCATATAATTCTAGGTTGAATATTCTGATAATATTATTTCATCCTGCCTTCATCATTACTGCTGTGGGTCTAGTTGCCACTCTTTATAGATAATCTGAATTTTTTATGTGGCTTTTCAGGAGCTTCTCTGTGTTTTTGGTGTTTAGCACCAAATATGTCTGGACATTTAGTTCTTTGTATTTATCCTGTGGTGCATACTATGTGACCAGGCACAAAGTTAAAGGAATAAATAAGCATTTTCACTCCTGCCTAATACATACTTCTCAAGGGTGGTAGTAAGTTTAAGTGTTCTAATTATTAAATAGTATCACTTGCCCCTTAATTTGGAAGTTAACAAAAAATGTCCATGAACCTTATCACACAGTTACTACTTAATAATATGGCTGTGGTTTTAGGTTAGTTGACACAATGTTGTCCCCTAGATTGGAAAAATATTATAGTATAACCATAAAATAGAATGCTCCATATTTATTAAAAATATTTTAGATGAGTAATATGTTAAGTTTTCGTAACTGGCAAAACGTAAAACAGTGTATAGTATAATACTTTTTTCTTAAATGAAAATAAAAATCTTTAAAAGAGTTAGGTGTATTTGAATCCAATGAAGGTGGTCAAGGAAAAAAGATGGTCAAGAAAAAAAAGAGTCAAGGACATATCCCTTTAAATATCTACATTTAAGGGGTGGGAGGAGGAAAAGAAACAAGAAAGGAGAATTCACCAAGCTATTTGAACCAAAGGCTGGTATCCTGAAAAACAAGGTGTAGAGAGGAGTTTTTTAAGTACAGAAACATGAAAGAACATCAGGGCCAAGATGCCTTTAGATTCAGGCTTTCATTTTTTGGATTTCAAACACGTTAATATCAGGGTTTTTGTTGTGCCTCTACCCCCAAACTGTGTGTTGTATGTCTGGTTTGTTTAGGTAAAGAACTACTACTATTTCTTCATACATGTTGTGAGCTCTTGACAACTGGCCAATCTCAGTCAGGTGTGATATTTATCTCTTATGTGATTCTGAATTAATTTAGAAACAAGATAGCAGGATTATTCCAGAAATCCAACCGTGTGTAGGAATTACAGAAAGCCACTTAAGGCTCTTAAACAGGAACCTTTGTTAATACTTTTTATGTCTCCTACACACACTTTTTTTAAAAAAAGAATTAATCAGAGTGAGTTGTTCTAAAATTCCTTGACTACGCACAAGCAGCTGAGACTCTTCTAGGTTTTTCAGCTAGGGCAGAGCTAAATGGGGGAAAGAAGACCTGCCTTCATTCTATCATCTGTTACCTTCCTTACCATCTGATTCAATGCTACCTTTGAGAGTGAAAGAGTAATAAAAGCAACAATAGAAAAATGTAATAAAACTAAACTAAAAGAATTTATAACTAAAAGAAAATGAATTATAAAAATGAAGAGCACAGTCAAAACTATCACAGATATCAAAGCTATCGAGACCAAATTCTTACTCAAAATTTGCAAATAAAGAATAGTGAGTTTGCAGATGACAATACCTGACTCTCAAAGGAATAACTTCATAAGGAGCTAGGGCTTCTCAGGGAAAGGTGCCAGAGGGTTTATCCCCAGCCCTGTGCTTGGAAAGCAAAAGCCTGTTGGGGAAGGAGACAAAGCTCATGCTTCCTCCAGGGGTCAGCACAATTGGCCATAGTCAGCTGCTCTTACCCAGTGGCCTATTTTCCTGGGAACAGTTCCACCCTGTTTCTCTGCTTCCCCTGCCACCTGTCTTCTCTTGCCAGGAGCATTGTACTTACAGATTCCACAGTACGCCTGTGGCCTGTGTAGAGCTCTCCTTGAGCAATGGCTCTCAAACCCTTTATGACTCAGGCGTGGGAAAGTATTCAGTAATTTTGGTTTCTAACACATTTCCAGCTGCTGCTGCTGCTGGTCAGGGAACCACACTTCAAGAAAACCACTGTCTTAGACCTAGAGTGGGTGCATGGAGGGGTGGGCATCAGCAAACTCCACCCCACAGGCTAAAGCCAGCCTTGAGCTAAAAATGCTTTTTACATTTATAAAGGATTATAGAAAAAATATGAGGAATATGTGACAGAAAAAATATATAGCCTGCAGAGCATAAAATAGTTACTATTTGGCCCCAGTCAGAAAGTTTCACTGACCCCTGACCTAGAATATGCACCAAAGTCTTGGCAGCTGAGGTTTCCAGCTGTTCTGATGTAGTAATTCTACTCAAACTCTGAAATGGAAGGAAATGCTAAATACTGATTCTGATTTTCATTCATACACTAACTGTTCTCCAAACCTGTCTTCTCATTGTCCCTCTATAAAGGCCCAGCACAATCTCATGAACAGAAGAGTGTTTTGCATGTGTTGAGAATTATTTACATTTTTTGGATCAATAATAATACACACCATATACAATTCAGATAGATGTAGAAGAGTATGTAGTGAAATACCAATCTTATACCCGTTTCCTGCCCCCTTGCCCCTTATGCTGAAGTTTGCCATTACTATCTTGTATATCCTTCCAAAGTTAGTCTTGAGTCTGTACACACAATTATCTACTTACATATACTTGTTTAAGTTATGTATATAAGTATGTGCATAAAAATTTTTAACACACAAATGGCATCACTCTCTATGTACACTCTCATCCTTCTTAACAGCCACATATAATATTCTATTGTATGGCTATCCCATAATTTTTAACCACTTCCTTGACAGTGAACTTTAAGGTTGATGGACTCCAAGAAGGAGAATTATTGGCTAAGGTGTGTGTACATTTGTAGTTTTCATGGCTCACGCCCTCTTGCCCTCCAGATAGTCTGTACCTGTCCACATCCCTCCAGTGATGTAGGAGGGTGGGCCTTCTCCACACCTTTACCATAGCATGTGTTGCAGACAGTTCAATCTTGGCCAACCTGATGTGACAAAGTATGGTTTTAATTTACTTCTCTAACTAGGGTACATCTTTTCGTATGTTTAAGAGTTACTTGTAGCTCTTTTTCTGTGAACTGTGTTCAGATACTTGATTTAGTTTTCTGTTAGTTGCTGGTCTTAGGCTTATTAATAGTACACTATCTTTTTATGTTTGTTTTTTATATGATTTATATTTTCCTAGTTTGTCATTGTCTTTTGATTTTATTTTTTCTTTTTGCCACTTAAAATTTTATGTGGGTTGAGTCTGAATATTTATTTTCATGGCTTCTGTGTTTTTTTGTCTTTCTAGGATTCCCCATTCTGGGTCTATTTTATTGGGGTTTTTTTTCCTTCAGTTCTTTTTTATTATTATTTTTTCTGTTGAGGTATCATTTGATATACAATTTTATGAAGGTTTCACATGAGCAACATTGTGGTTACTACATTCACCCATATTATCAAGTCTCCACCACACACACCCCATTGCAGTTACTGTCCATCAGCGTAGTAGCTAGAGTCACTACTTGTCTTCTCTGTGCTATACTGCCTTCCCCGTGACCCCCCTACATTATGTGTACTAATCATAATAGGCCTATTTTATTCTTAACTATCTTGTTTTTCTTTTAGTACATTTATGAGATTTTTTTTGCATATTCAAATACTCTCATGATTTGGAATTTACTTTAAAATATGATGTAGGAGTACAAGTTTTTTCTCCATATCATTGTCTGACATCATTTATTGAACTACCCACCTTTCCCATACTAATTTGAATTGATGCCTTAAAAATTTTTAGTTTAAGTGTTTATTGTTAGCCCATGACAAAATTAAGGAAATGCTGAAGGACAAGGGTCATGTTATATCATGTTGGTTCTGAATCCTCATTGCATTTTAGAATCATCTAAGGCAGTACTTCTCCAAGTTTTATGTGCATCTGAATTACCTTGGAATTTGGTTAAACATGCAGATTCTGGTTCAGTATGTCTAGGGTATGTTCTGGGATTGAGTATTTCTACCAAGCTTCCAGATGCTGAATCTGCTGGTCTTTGAACCACACTAGGGCGCAGGTATAGATAGTTCCAGAGCTTTCTTACGTGACTCTAAGGTATAGTTACAATTGAGAACCACTGGATTAGGATATCTGAATTTCAGTAATTATTATTTTGGCAGTTGTTGTTTGAGGAGCTAGCTAATTCATTGGTATGTAGTGAATGAGTGGGGTAACCTTAGCAGAAGGGTGATTGCTGAGAATAATAAATTGGTTAGGACTCGGTTCCTTGTACATTTCTCAGTGTATAGAAAGATGCTATAGAAGAATGAAAGAAAAACAGTTACAGAAATAAAAGCACTATTCTGTTTGGGTATTTCCTTTCCAAAGCATAAAAGTGCCTGAAGTTTTTGAAGAGTTGCCATGTCTTTTTGTACAGGTGGAATGAGGTATCATCTGCTATCTCCAGAGGATCGAGAAGAACTGGTAGATGGCACAAGGCCCAGAAGAAAGAAACATGACTACCGCATAGCCCTATTTGGAGGTTCCCAACCACAGTCTTGTAGATACTTTAACCCAAAGGTAAGTGATTTTTATTCCTATTTTTCTTTTTGAAAGTTCTGAGCACATAGATACCACCAGTCATAGTAATAACTCCTGCCTTCAGAGAAGTTATAGTTTATGATGACTCCTTCACATATCCTGTGAGATACACAGTTATCATCTTCATTTCACAAATAAAGAAATTCATGCTTAGTCAGACTTCAGATGTTTCTATAATTTCCCTGGAGTGCTGCATGGTAACCGCTGCCAAAGAAGCTGGAAAACTAGTTCTCCTATCTTATCTCTTCTGTTAGAAACTCCTCACATTCATTACAACTCCTTGCTTTATGTGCCATTTTTGATGAAAATTTGCTTTCATTTCTTCCCTTAAGTAATTATGTTTTAGATGTTTTAATCTAAAATAATACATAGTAATTCTAGAAAATTTGGAGAACCCAGAAAATCACAAAGAGAATAGATAAAATTACCTTTAATCCAGCCATTTAGAAATGTTAGCTAATTCTACTGTGTTTTCCAGTATATGATAAATCAGTTAGGGCAGCAGAACTGAGTCATAGGTGTAGGAACACAATTTTTAAAAATAAGTTATTTTTAAAGTAAGTCTTTTTCTCTGCCACAGTGTTCATTCATAAACCCATTAAGCAAGTATCAGATTAGGGAGGGAAGATACAGGTGTATCATCTACATGATTATTAAGAGACTTTGCTGCGCCTGTGGGCACTCTGATAAGAGTTCATATGAGACACAAATTTGTGTCTTTTCTGGAGGACCACCTACATTATCCTTAAATCTCCTTATCAGCAATCTTCCACTCTTGCTTATTACAAGTCTGCACCATCTGGGAAAACTGTTAGCCACTGTACCAGAATTCATAAAAACTGAACTTAAGCTTTCCCTCCTGAAGGGACTGTAGTGCTTTGGCAGTCCACTTTGGCTAGAACTGTCACAAATGACCAAAGCTAAGGTCTCTCATATTTAATAGCTGATTTATAGGGACCACCTCCACAAAGACATAACTTGGTTGAGAGAGAAGATCATCTGGGTAAAAGTTGTATAGCCTGTTTGGGTATTCTGTGCCTTGGGAACTCCATAAGCCCAGTCTTATGTTCACATACCAGATTATTGGCTGAAAGCATGCTGTTTGTGATCAGATAAAACTGTTCAAAATGGGTTAGTGATATAGTCGCTTAGTTCCCCTTGGTGTCAGACATTTGTGTGTCTCAGAACCTAGTGGCCAGCCAGGAGCTATTTACTAAAAAAATGCTGCCTCTTAAAGTAGGTCAGCCTTGCTGTAGAATCCCAGGGCCATGCTCTTTGATCATACTGGGAAATTCCTCAAGCTATATGCAGCATCCTGTTCAGCATCCTGATATCCTAGGATCACAGGGGAGCCTGAGCAGCTAAGCCATGCTATTGCAGCCTGTCCCACTGAGAAAGCTTTCCCTTCTCTAGATTTTACTACAACTGGCAGCTTTTTGGTTTATCCAGTAAAAGTAAATATCCACCCAAATACAGGATATGTTCCATCTGTAATATGTAGGAGATGCATGAGACAGAAAGCTATTGTTCATTTCCAAGGGGTTATGCCATCATGCTGTAGATCAGGACTTGGCAAACTTTTCTATGAAGTGTCGGATAATAAATGTTCTCACTTTGTAAGTTAAACAATCTCTTCCCTAACTGTCTGGCTCTGATGCCGTAGCAGTATAGCAGCCATAAACAACACATAAGCAAATAGGCACGTCTGTGTTCCAATAAAACTTTATTTACAAAAAACAGGCAGTGTGAATAAATAAATAAATAATAAATAAGTAAAAAACAGGCAGTGGGTTGGATTTGGCCTACAGTGCATAGTTGCCAACCCCTGCTCTAGCTCTGTAGACATCTAGGGACTTTGAGGTACAGGATAACTTCTCTCCTGTCCTGTCAAGCACTTGTCTTACCAAGACATGTGGGATCCTTTCCATTTTCTGTTCTCCAGAATTCATCAGTATTATTGGGCATCAGTATAGGAGACCATTGTGTGACTACCTTTGGAAAGATGAGATAAACCTAAAGTCCTACAACTGAGATTATGGAATGGAGCTAGAGAGTAAAGAGATCCATGAAATTATTTTATTTTCCCTGCCAGTCAGAAATTCCATCTAATGGTCAGGGTAAACAGTAACAGAAATAGACATTAGCCAAATGTTAACTGTATGCCAAATTTTAGTGGTTGTTTCAGTTTGGTCTAGGACCACATCTGGCCCAGTAGCAACAGTTAGAGTCACCAATTTCAGCACTTGCCTCAAAGCAGTGGGGTTTCTCTTCTCTTTTGATAGAGAAGGAGACCACAACAGCTTCTCACCAAAATATTTTACAACCATAACTCAGAGTAAATATGCTGCCAGATATCAAAAAGACCTCTCCAGAAAGGAAGATCAATCAGGTTAATAGGTTAGACATTGTTATATTTAGACTGTCCCTATTGGTCTGCTCTCAGCTCATACATTTATCTCTGGAACATTCCTCCATCTCCAGAATATAGGCTGGTTTTTTATTAAAGACAATGGCTTCCTTTCTTATTAAAAGACTGGGAGACTGGCAGGTACCATAAGGCTTCATGGCCTGTGCAGTACAATCCAGTAAGCACAATGTCAGTATGCTTAAGAGAGAATTGCTACACCTACACATCTTATCCCACACCAGGTAAGGATCAAAGGATCAGACTATTGACATTAGACACAGATTAATTGACATTAAAAAACAATTTCAGTGTTTTAACTTTCAGGATCCACTATCCCCATAAACTATTCCCTTTAGATATTATATACAGGAAATTTATTAATACACTCTTTTTTTCCAAGCAGAAACTGAAATCATAGCAGTTTGAATTGTAATTCTGTGAGCCACATCTTTCAGTTGCTGATAATAGTTATACCCTTCTTATTACCCAAAGCCTAACTATGGTGTTGGTTTTGACATTAAAAAACAGTTAAGCCAGTTTTGGGGGAAAAAATATTTTAAAGTAGATGGCTATTTTGATGTACAGAGGAACAAAGAGAATGCTAATTTCATTTAGGAGACATTGAGCATCATTTCTAGAATAACACAGATGTGGAATGACTCATTACTTTGTCTTTGGTCTGTAGTTCTAATGCTTTCCTTGGTTTTCTTTTTAATTGGACAGTTGAAAAGGAATGTACATTCTACACGACCCTGGAAGTGAGACTGTAACTTCAGAATTCTCATTTGATGTCTTACTCTGCTCTTATAAATGGGCCATACTGAGTGCTCTTTTATATGCAGCTACAAATTTTAGACTTCCAGTAGGAAAATTCAAATAATTGAAGAAATAACTACGAATAACATCCTCATTCTGTCAATTATCTTTTATTCCTTAAAGCGAACACCATTAGAAATCCCATCACAATGTTTATTAAATTCTTCTATTAAAAGTACCAGCTCCTCCCTTCTTTTTGCTCTAAAACTTCATCTTGAAAATTTTCACCATTTATTATTATTTGTATATGGTATTTAATGTAAGCTAATTAGTCTTTTATTGCCAATATTAAAACTGTTAGGCTGGTTTCAGTATAAATGACTATTATCTACCTTGAGTCTTCCAAAATGAACATTATTTCATTATTTAAGTAATCTACTTAATAAGGAGTACTACATAGAAATTATTTTTTAATTCTTGAACTTAATATTTTCAGAAATGTTGATGGTTTAACTATCATAAAATGGAGCCCATTTGTGTACATCCTATGCCAGCCAGAAATGATCATTCTTACTGAGTTCATGTCCTTCAAAGGAGACAATTTAAGCAGTATTAATTGAATTATCCAGAATTAAGCCACTATCCCCATAAACTATTCCCTTTAGATATTCCTTAGATATTGCTGCTGAGAGGAGGCAAATATTTATAATAGTTGCTGACTGAAAAATAAAAAAGAAAATCTTAATTTTTTTTCTGAGTATTAACAGAAAAAGAAGTCTTGGGTTGCTGTATTGAATAGAAATGATACCATTCTTGTTACGGTCCTTTATAAAGCCTGCTGAACTTCCCCTTCCCTACCTGTGCCTGTTTTAAAGTTTTCAAATGCTTAGTAGTTACTGAAAGAGCTGCTTATCTCTATGCCATGCTCTGTTCTGTTAGTATTGGTGTTCTCAGGAGAAGAATGGGAATGTCATATAATATTGATGCCTAAATAAAAGTTGACTTTATTGACCAGGTTTTATTGGACTTTTCCTGTCCTTGAAATGATGAGCTCTGAGGGCTTAGAACTTTGTAAGGGTCTTACCTCATCACTCTCAGATGGTGGAGAAACAGGAGACTATGCCCTAGAAAAATAAGGGATTCTGCATATTCTCTGCCTAAACAAATAGTGTTAAGACAGCAGGGTGAGAGCAGATCCTATAAGTTACAAAGGCAGAAAACCACATGGTGCCATATTATGTGGAACCATCAGGTTCAGGAGGTTTACACTGAGTACATTTTCTTACTCAGAACCCTGAAGTAGACTCATCACTGAGCTTAGTGTCTTGGCCTCACTCAAGTATGTGAGAATGAATGAACCAGTAAAACTTCCTATAACATTTCACTGGCAATTTTGTCGTTTGGTTTTACAGAGCTGGATTTAAATGCAGATGGACCCTAAATCAAAAGAAATGAAGTTACCTTTGACTCAGAACAGTTTCCTGTTGGAAATATTGTTTATTAAAGTATCACAGTGCCTCTTCTCACAGTATCATAGCCACTTTCACTCTTAAACCGTCCTTCACGGAGGGGACAGTCCCACTCTGATCACAGTGGAAGTCAGCAATTGTACAATCCCTATGCTTTTAAGAGGCATGCATAAAACAAGTATAAACCTTAATGGAAAATTGTGTTACATTAAAAAATTAGTGAGACTTTTTATAAGAGCAAATCAGTAGTGTTTGTCACCAGCAAAAGAGTGTTGGAGAAGTAGTACACTGAAGTAGCGGGGTGGGCACTGCTAAAATTACCAGGAACTTAGAGGAGCAAAATGGGC